AGCACGCTAAGCGTCTATAAAATGTCGCAAAGCCTGACGACGCCACTGTGACATGGCCGCCGTGAACTGCCACTAAATAAGTTCGCTTACCACCACTGCCTTGTGATTAAGTTATTGAGTCAAAGTGCGAGATGAGACAACCTAAAACACCCATCTGAGCAGCTTTTGGGGACACGCCGTACTAACAATTCCCAAGACACCCGATGAAAAACTATGTCCGATATCAATGTAAGAATTCAGAAGTCAAATTTAGAATTTGATTATTCAAGAGCCGGCCTTTACACAGAGAAGATGGAGTGTAGACTAACAAACAGTTTAATCATTAAATAAACAGAAAGTATGGGGGAGGATGAGGGCGTTCAGAGGTCAGATGTCCTAATCTTGTACTATCATAGATTGACCAATTCCAAGTTGTGCTCACACATAACGTCTATACAGGCCCTAGGGCTTCCGTGGCCGAAGAATTCGGCATGTATTAAACACCTTTTGTCGCGTCAAGCTACAACGATGAATCACAAAACATATTAACCTGTTGGACGCCCACTTCCCCTGCTCTGCTTTAACCCCTGATAGGACAAGACCATAACCCCCTAGCCTCTGAATGCCCTCAAACTTACCCCCCCATCGGCACAGTTTATCGGATATTTAAACTCTGGTTACTCTACCCTACCCTATATTACGGTACAGGGTTGTTAACGAAAATTCAAAAGCGTACGTTTGCCAACCTAGGCAATTTTCTTTTCGTCCTACAAGGAAAACCTGTTAGTCAATGTTAGAAAAAAAAACGAACAGGAAACGACGTAGTGGAAAAAGAAACAAAAAGCAGCGGTTGCGGCAGTCACCGGGTTGTTACTGGAAGCATCGGACAGGAGCTCGTTAGCGGACCGGATAAAATCGACGATGAGGAGGTTGCAAGCCGGAAGGGAGAACGCAAAGAGGCGCCAGCAGCCGGCGAGGAAAGCCTCCGAGGCGAGGACCTGAACGAGTGGAAAGAGGGGGGAGAGAAGGCCGACCGATGAGCAAGAAGCTGACAGTTTCCACAGTAACAGAAACTCCAAAGGGGGCGTGGAAACTCAAAATAACAAAAGTTTAAGAAAGTAGCTCGCAAACGCCGACAGGCACCGGAAGACGACGGCTATGTACATGCATCTCGGCAGGGTCCATCAAAAAGGCGGATAACATAAAAAGTAAAAGTGGAAAACAATATCTGGAAGGCTACGTGAATATGCAAAATATACGTTCTGCCGTGGACAGTTCTTTAAAACCATAAAGGGAAAACACACTGGATGACGTTGTTATGTCCCAATCTGTGGAAACATTCAAACACCGACTTGATATGCGTATGTTATAGCACAATGTCACTGTCTATATTTTCCTGACTGAAAACTTGTTAACATTGTTCCTAATTCTTGAGATTTTGATGTAACAAACAGGGATTTCAAATGTGCAAGCCTATTTTTTTCTCAAATATACTGACTGACGCCATTAACTGACGGAAAATTATTATCAGGGCCTGGAATGTCAGGGAACCTACGTCTTCGTTCCGAGTCAGAATGTAATGCAGCTGGCGATAGAATTGCGCCAACAGTTCCTCGTTTAGCTCAGCATCGTGCTGGCGGACAATCAGGGTGCTGAGTATATGCATAGTCCGCTTTTTGGCGTCTCGAAACTCGTCAGGCAGGTCCAGAATCTAAAGAAAAGAAGCGGACGAGGTAGTTTTAGGGTCTCAATAAAGAGAAGCCGTATTTTAGGACAGAGCAGGTCAAAAAACGCATAGTGGGACGCTGACAGTCACGTAAATATGCTTAGTGTACAACGATATCGACAAAGAACCGAAAAAGATCATTGATTAAATCAACTAGAAGCGTCATTTTTAGAAGTTATCAGTGGGACAGGCGACCGTAAATGTCAGACACTAACACCATCTGAAGGTCAGACCGCGAATGTTCTAAGGAAAGAGACAGTATCAAGGTTTGAGTTAGGATGTTAGCCGGAACAAATGCTAGCAACGTTTTGAGGCTTTCCAAAGGCGTCGAGCTTAGCCAAATGTCTTTGTTGGTTAGCTCTGACCGCATAACAGGCGATGATTGCCCATGCGAGATGACCTTAGACCGCACGCACGCAAACGAGCGTATGCAAGGCACAAGGCCCGAGGGTCAACTGGTCGCGTGACGTTA